TGGCCTCCGTCCCGGCGGGGAAGCGGCTCCGGTGCTGGCCGCGGAGAGATCATGTCGACCTAATGATCCCATGAGGTAATGGGAAGATAGTCATTAGCTCACTCCCTCTGGGCATTTTTATCTGGCCTTTTATTTTTTTCCTTTAGTTACCCGCACACAACATGCACGCTGGATTTTCAGCATTTGTCTTAATAAATCTGATTAAGATCAGCACAGTACTGTTAATCATGTTTTTTTCGAGATGTTGGACGAAGCTTTGTGTGGGCATAAACATTCTTTGTCCGGAATAGCTTAGTCCATTTCTACTTCCTGGCATGCATTCTTCTTTATTTGCTTACAAATCACGTAATATAGAAAAGATGTCTCATTTTGCAGTTCAAACATGCAAGCAGAAAGTTAAAATTGAATGCTGTTCCAAAGTCCTGAAAGCATCTTCCTGCTTTTGCAGAGAAATCCTTTTATTTCAAAGCAGCTGTTCACCAGTCTAATCTTGAAGATATTCCCTGCAAAATCCTTTGGAGGAGGTGCATCCCTTATTTTTTTATGGCAGCAGAGGCATAACCCTTGGACATCAGGGTGGTTCAAAGCTAAAGCCAGCTGGACTAGTGGAATCATCTGTGCCCTTAGATGAGAAACGGGAAGGATGCCTTAACTGCTGTGGGACTAAGTAATACCTTGGGGAATATAAATGCTCACATGTCTGAATCTTTCCTTTACATCTTAGGGTAGATTCACCCTGCTAGAGTTTTGGCACTTAATTCCATTGGTACTAAGACGTGGTGAATGAGAGCCTAAGAGTTGAAAAGGCTGCTTCGTGCCAGAGACCCATGTAGTTTGACCTTTTGTCTTGCAGCAGTGGCTGTGAGCAGGAAGAAGTCCAAAATGAGTCTGATAGTTTTGCCCTGATACATTCTCATAAGTGTTCTCAGCCAAAACAATTCCCACAGCTTGAGTGCTTGTATTGGCAAATCTGAAGGCCTTCATCAAAATATATTAATGCAAGTATTTTACTCATGAGCATTTTGAGACTCTTGCTTCTTCTTGTAGAATGGACAGAATCCAGGCTGTTGTATCCCAGGCTACATCTGAAGCTACTGTGCATTGTTGTAGTCTAAGGTGCAGAAATTATGTTTCTAAGGGAAAGAAACAAGTCAGGAGGGCACTGGCTTCTGAGCATTGCAAGTAGCTGCCTTTCCAATTACCCCTCATAAATTTATTCACACTTAAGGATTTATTTTGTCTTTAGTTTCACTGATCAAATTCTCTGAGAATTCCCAAGGGCCCGAGACACTGAAAACCATAATTCAACACTTGGGATGTGCAGTTACTCCTTCCAGCTGTGCTGAATGAATAAAAGGTATTCACCAGGGAAATGATGGATGTCAGAGACTGTAACCTTCAAAGACAGACTTGAGTTTTGGTTTCCTCCAAGGCTGCTTTTGATGCTAGAGTGGCTACTAATGTGTTCATCTCAGCTGTGTAGTTTGGTAAAGTATGATTAGCAAGTTTCATGTTTCTATGAGATATAAGCACAACACACAGAAATATAGCACTACACACAGAAATGTAACACAACACACTTCTGAATTGGAAGAGACCCAAAGGTTCATCAGCACATGTAGCATTTGACTGTGTGGAAGAGTGATCAACCACATTATGAGTTAAAAATTCATGTCAGGTTGCATCTCTAGTTCCAGGGTTTAACCCATGCCTTGCAATGTGTGTTTAAATAGTCTCTTGCTTCTCTCTGATTTTCGTCTGTCAGTGGCATCTCACCCATGATCTGACTCTGCTGTCACAGCTGTACTATAAACCCACCAAATCACAGGACTCAGGTTTTAAATAAGACAGGAAATACTATTTTTCAAGAGATTCCCAGTGGAGATCTCAAACTGGTTGTGTGATGTTAAGGAAGGGTGGTAGAGCAGAATAGCAAAATGAACTCATTAAACCAGGACAGCCTCTGAGCACTTTGTCTCTGGGACACACATCTGCAGCTCTGCTGAGCAGTAGCTACCAAATTCTGTCTATTCTCCGGGCAAGTGATAATTAATTGAGTATAGTCAGGCCCAAGAATTGCTACCTGTCAAAAGCTGGAGAGCACAGCACAAGAAAATATAAATTCCTTGTTCAGATCTGGAGTATGGAATGATTTGAGAGTAAAACAAGTGGCATCCCTAAAATCCAGATACTTTCTGGTGAATGCAACCTGGAATTGCATGACAAATGGATCCTTAGCCATGGATGTGATAAGTTTTTGGTTGTGTATTATTCAGATACATTCAGAAAGTAGAGATGACATTCTCATGATGAGTAGCTCTTCTTTTCATTTGATTATTCAAACTTGGAAAGTACTTGCTCTGCATTTGGATTTTGTCAATTTACTAATTTACCTTAATGAGACTAAAGGAGAAGAAAGTTTGCCTTCACTGGCTATCTTGGCTTGTATCAGGTGTTAGGAAAACATGAAGATGCACTTCTCAGGCTGCAAAAACATAAAAAATGGGGTACATGAAACATACATGAAATTCTCAGTAATGAGTTAAGCCTTCCCTACTCAGAGGACAGTCTTACTGACAGGGCAGACCATTTATGTAACATATCAAGCACAAGATCTGTGCAACTATATCAAAGTCTCCCTAACAATTCTTCTACATCAGCTCTGCCCTTTCTTAGATGGCATTTCCATCCTTGATGGAAATTTCCTGATGCTTAATGGCAAGTTTGCATATTAGCAGCATCTACATTTTTTTGCCAGGTTTACATGCATCTGATTTTTCTGCAAGCTCTTTTTTTCTTTTTTTTAAGATTTGAACAGCTAACATTTAGGTCTGCACTCCAGTAAATCCCCATTTCTGGCCTTTGTGTTCATGGTGCACTTCAGCTTATCAGATGTGTGCTGGAAATGCAAAACAGCTTAGAGGAAATAGTCAAGGAGGTTCCTGGACTGTGTGGAAGGTAACTTCCCCACGCAACTGGTGAGTGTGCCAGCTGGGGAGCTGCCCTGCTGGACCTGCTGTTTGTGAACAGAGGAGGACTGTAGGTGATATAATGGTCAGCAGCAATCTTGGGCACAGCAGCCATTAGATGATAGAGTTTTCTATTCTTGGAAAACTAAGGAGAAAA